CTTTAAGAGTTCTGCCATTTTGCAAAAATCCAGAGATTATTTAGGAACATCTGAATATTCAGGTTTGAAGTTTAAGAAAGTGCATTTACTACAAAATTTAACTATTCAGTTAGAAACTTGCATATTAAATTATTGGCCTTTGTTATAAGAATACTTATATGCACAATTTAATGATTTATGCAGAATGTATGCACATCAGAGGGATATTTTCTCTTCATAAATATATTTTTAATTTGAGGTATCATAGTTTATAATAGTATTTTGTCATTTGTTAAAAGTGAAATAAAAGTAATTGAAAAAATCTAAAGAGATGTGAGGGGAGAGAAAGAAAGACATTGTTCAAGAGAAAACAGGATCCTCCCAAGTGGAAAAAGTCTGAGTTGTTATTTATTGTTGCAAAGTACTATGCCAATCTTTTAATGCATACATTTCTTAACTTGACTGAACATTTGTCTACATATATACAAACAGATAAATGCTGGAATGCCAAGTAAAATGACTGATCAAGTTAGATGCTTCTCTGATACTCACTGAACTATAGTAGTTTTTGAAAACCTATTAGCTTTCTTATTTAGCTGGATGAGGCCCTAAAAGGTAAATAAGAATTTATGGGATACCTTGTTATGTCTCAGATATTCTTTCTGTACTATGAAGCATTGGGCTTATTTTGGCTGAAAGTAATTTGATCAAAAATGTGGGGTCTACCACACAGTTTCTTGGTTCATAACCTAAGCCTGCTAGTTTCCAATGGAGAGACCAAGTACATAAGGGTCTCAAGGCTCAGCTTATTCATCAGTCAGATGTGTTAAGATAGCAACATGCTTAATGGCAGCAAGGCACTTTGTTTAGAAATATCCCCCAAGATGGTTAAAGAGTATTTGCTCATTAACTGATAAACTTGTCTCTGAAAAGGTCTGGACTTACTGCCAACGATTACTTTTACAGACTTGCCTGCTTTACAGCTATATAGACAGGTGTTTGAGAATATAAGAAATTAAAATAGGAATAGGAAAGCTTTTTAGTCCATTTCGCTAATTAATATGTCAGTGCTCATAAAGAAGAACTCATCGGCTTTCTGCAGTACTGCATCATCTTAAAGAGCTGGGTCAGCAAAGATCTCTGCAGACAGTCAATACATATTAAAACAGTTCCTAGCAGTAAATCAAAACAAAAAAAATGAAGACATAGTAAAAAAAGTAAAATTTATAAGTCTTTTCTGTCTAAATGATGAAGAACATAAAACTGAAGGTTTAGGTGTCAGTTCAGAATTCAGAAAAGCAATGATTTCTTGTCAAACAGAGTGAGTCTGTGAATAAACCAAAATTAAAGTATCATTTCGGGGGGAAAGGCTATGCCAAACTTGATGCCATTTTCTTTGGGTTCTAATGTTTCTTCAGAATACTCATCATTTAAAACACAATTTTATTGTTTAATATGCATGCTTTACTGAAGTATCCCTCGCTTGAGAGGATTTGAATTTTTTGAAATCCCAGTAGAATGACATGGAAAGAAGTGAACGATTTCTTAGGGTTTTCCAAGGGTTTCTAATGGCACTTTTTGAAGGAAGGGAACAAACAAATAAAAAAATAGCATTTTATTCCAACTTGTCAGGATAGGTCTCCATATCCCACATCAGCTACGTTTTGCATATATGGAAGGAGATCCTACAAGATTATAAACCTTAGAACCCATCTGCCATCTTTCTTGTTAAGGGATGAGATACAATGTGCCACTAGTGAACAGCTGAAATGGGCTATCAGAAGAATATCAAGATCACTGGATTCATTATAAAAGGGGTGAAGGGAAGCTTCATCTGGGACCAAAAAATGTTAGGAAAATTTATCTTACCTGAGTTTTTTATTTGAATGAGTTCAGAGAAATCAACCACTTAAAGATTAAGCCAGGGAAAAGATGCCAAAAAATATTGTCACAAATTTGGGAGGTACCCAAGGCAGACAAACAGATGGAACTTGGCATGAAATGGCCCTCTACACACTAAGTAGCTGACTCAGAAGAAATTTTAACTCAGATGAATTTATTAAAATATTGACTATCATCCTGAACAAGAAAATGGATGATAGATTTAGGTCTTCACATACAATTTAATTTAACTTCCTGATGGTCTTGGATAGCACGAAACATTTCCATAATGAAAAGGGAAAGGAATACTTCTTAACAAGAAGCATTCTAGTTTGGAGAATGAATTTGCAGAAAAGAAAGGAGAAAAAAAAGAAGATGAGTGACACCCTTTAACATTGGACAGGTAAGAATGATCATGAGAAATTATACAGTATAATTCAGACCAGTACCCAGGTTAGCAGAGGCAAATTAGCAGTTTGAGACTATAGTCATCAGGCAATTTTAAACGTCAATTTATTTATTTATTTAAAATAAATATATTTTATTTGGAGGGTTTTTAAGGTATGGGGGGGAGAGAGAGAGAGAGAGAGAGAGAGAGAGAGAGAGAGAGAGAGAGAGAGAGAGAGAGAGAAAGAGAGAGAGATGCACTCAAGAGAGAACACGGGCTACTCCAGGGGCGAAGTGAGCCCCTACACACATCCTAGAATTAGACACAAAAGCATAAAAGTACACATCTCAAGAGGGGAGATTTAGGCGGCACATGCGCTGGGGCAAAACATATGTTTGGCCACGTGGGCGCACGCAGCACAAGGGCTCTCGTAGCATATGAGCTTAAAAGTCAATTTAATAAGTGAAAGATTTTGGCAAAGTTCAAAGGATCCTCAGTCCTTTGCTGTCAATTACACTACAAACCACCACTACCAAAGGGCAGTTAGAAACTTAACCCTAAAGGCACAGACAGAAGGACAGAATTTGGACAATCCTGACAATTCAGGCTAATTTTCCAAGTGACAATAAATATTAAAAATGAAATAAGAGCCAGCTCTAGGAGTACATAAATTATATCTTTAGTATTGCATTTTTCTGAATACTTACTCTGAAATGTCTCTAATGTTTTCAGGATGCTCTAGCAAGTTCTAGGAGCACATAGACTATATTTTTTAGTGTTGCATTTTTCTGAATATATACTTGAAATGTCTCTAATGTTTTCAGGATGCTCTCAGGTAACACAACTCTGGTTCATTTGATATGAAAAATATTGGTACTATACCTATCGACCACCTAAAGTGAAGGTGTTATATGGAACAAACAATTAACCTGCCCCACAGCTTCAAAATCATGCCACTTTGACATTTTTTCTTTCAGTTTGGAAATAATTCCAATTTTCATATCTATAACCTATTAGCAGTTTATAGCAGACTATATAAAACATGTTACCCAAATATACTTAAATATTATAGTAATGTGCTTAGACAACAAAATTTTCATTTATAAGGAGTAACTAATTTTATATATTTTTATTTAGAGTATACTTTATTAGTTTCTGTAATCAAACTCATATAGATAAGACCTTACATATTTAATACAATGAGTTACTCCTGTACAAATGGAAAAAGAGAGATAGATGCTCATTGTTTCTAGACCAATATGGCTGTGAATTTCTGTACAATGCCAATCCAAGAGTAGTTAGTTTAGTTACCTGCTAATGGTAATTTCTTTGGAAATTAGTACGACTAAAGATTTAATTTGCTGAAAAACTTGAGAAAGTGTATGATTTGCTTATTTTCAGAACTACATTGATAATCATGTCTGAATATGCTTCTATTTTTTACTTCAAATCCTATTCTAAAATATCCAACCATTCAGTATTATGTGTAAGAGAACTAACTACAAACAGTGTGACAAAGCACTTAAGATGGAAAGGATATAGGCCATCCTTGAGGTTCCTTGGTCATGAGAACTTCCTTCTCAGAATCCTAAAAATATGTCAGTAGCAGGGAACTTAATGAACAAGAGTGATGGGAATAAGCAGCATGTGACCATTTATCGCTCCCGCAGAAATCTTTTCCTTCACAGTGATCTAACCTCCTAGGCCCTTTATTAGGAATAGCAGAATAGGAAAAGTATCAGAGTTGTGAACCAGTCCTTCCCTGCTGTTATCACTAGAGAATCTGCAGAAAGAGGAAAAAAGAAAAAAGTCATAATCTTGCCCTGGAACATGATGGAGGTAATGAGGCATCAAGACCACTTACAGCTGAAAACATAATTGGCACATAAACACAGGAGATGCTTTGGTGATAGGAAAGACTTCTTTGTCTCAAAAACAGAGGGATGCCAACAAATTGTAACCCTTCTGTTACACAGAGTGGCAATCCTAAGAGTAAAATGAATATTTCCCCCAAATAATGCACCCCTAGAGGAAAGAGATGATTGTAGTTTTTATAAGCTTAGTCGCATTAAGTGTTCCCAACCATTGCTAATAAATGACGATGAAGGAAGGGAAAAGGAATATAAGGCAAGTCATTTGGCAATGAAGAAAAGGTTGAGTACAAGAATACAAGAATCTCCTACATAACAGAAGAAGAAGTAGGACCTATAGGCTCTTAAAGGTGCACATAGATTTTGTAGAGAGCCTCCAGGAAGCTCATTCATGTGTCTAAAGAAAGATGACACTGTCAACTTGGACACAATCCCTTCAAGGAAGCTCAAAAGACAATAGCTTTTATAAAAAGAAAGAAATAACCACATCATCTGGAGCCTTTTTATTCTGAAACTGTCTGCATGCTTTACAACAAAAATCATCATGAAAAAAAATTCCAAACTCTCCTGCTTTTTTTTTTCTTGAAAAATTTTTGCTGTTCACATTGTTTAACAGGAATCCAAAGTTTAAGACTTTTGGTTTCAATTTTTTTTTCTGAAACCTTTATTCTTCCTTCTCAAACATTTTGAGTCAGCATATATTATGCCACTGTACACAGAGCCAAGCAACAATTCATTTTTGTGGAAGTCAAAGGCAGCTCATGTATTAATTAGCCAGACTTTCAGTAACTATGGTTGAAAATAGGTTCCAACTACTACTCAAACACAGCCAATGATTTCCAGAAAGAAGAATCTAAAGCTAGTTACAAAGAATTTCTTACCCAATTTTTGTCCAGCCATTGAATGGACTTTGCTTTCATCTGGCACTGAGAAGAAAGAAGAGGCAGAAATCAGATATGCTTGCAAATCAGTAATTTTTGAAGAACAATTAATATAGAATCAGAACTTAAATATTTCATTGTCCAGATTTATAAAATGTTTTCCCATAGGTACCTAATTTCTTTTGGTAGATATTATGAAATATTATGAAGAAGTTATGAGTAAATATAATTTTCATTAGGTCTTGATGAACAGATTTCATTTTTAATACTTTATGTTCTTCCAACTGGATTGTCATTTCCACATCCAGTCAGGAGAAACTAAACTCAAGGACCAAAAAGTGACATTCGTATATTATAAAACTTCTGGAGCTTAATAACAACTCAGGAATAGACTTCTACATTGGGTTAAAATGGAGTGAAAGCGAAGTGATTTACAACTACTTCTGAAAAAAAGAGAAACAATGCTGTGCATGAGATCAGATATTGTTCAACAAAAGACAGTGACGCCTGAGAGATGGGAAATAGATGAGGTGAATCCTACAATTGTTCTAGCTTACTGCCCAGAGGAAATATCCCAGCTGCAGTACAAGGTGGGGGGGAGGGCACACAGACAGAACCCTATCATATCTTAGCATGAGGACGTGTTACCCAAAAGGAAAATGAGAGGGAAATAGCAGGGGTTTGTATGGTTGAGAACCAGGATAATAGAAAATTCTGTCTGATGTTTGCAGAGGACTTCTTCAGAGAGTTAGTGGAAAGCTGACGATCACATACAGATGAAGAGATTCTCCCCCAAATTTGGGGAAAGGACCAACAGAAGTATGAAGGAAACAATATGAAATTCACACCAAAGAGGGAGTAGTGCTGGTTTGAACAGTTCTAATAGCCAGAATGAAACACTTCATAATTCAGTGTCACTGGTTACGATATAAAGAAGGGTGTTGCTTTAGTGGTGTGGAAAAAACGAACCCTGGATTATCACATTTCTGATGAAATATATATATATATATATATATATATATATATATATATATATATATGAAATGCACTAATTACCAAAGCTTCTACGAGAGGAAATGTCATCTGGATCACCTTACAGATTTTTTTGTTTTTTGGGTCACACCCGGTGATGCTCAGGGGCTACTCCTGGCTCATGCACTCAGGAATTACTCCTGGAGGTGCTCAGGGGACCATATGGGATGCTGGTAATCAAACCCTGGTCGGCCGTGCAAGGCAAACGCCCTACCCGCTGTGCTATTGCTCCTGTCCCACCTTACAGATGGGACAAATTTTTAAATGATATTTTAGGTAAAACTTTGATGTGAAAACTGAACTCTTACAGTTTCATGGGAAAATTATATTAAAATTTTTACCAAAAAATCACTTTAGAAATGCAGAGAAGGAAATCATTTTCAAACTATTCTATGAGGCTGTATGACTCTGGAATTAATGTCAGGTATGAAAATGTGCGATAGCACAGCGGTAGGGCGTTTGCCTTGCACACAGCCAACATGGCTGACCCGAGTTCGATACCTCCGCCCCTCTCGGAGAGCCCGGCAAGCTACCGAGAGTATCTCGCCCGCACGGCAGAGCCTGGCAAGCTACCCGTGACGTATTCGATATGCCAGACATAGTAACAACAAAGTCTCCAATGGAGACGTTACTGGGCCCGCTCGAGCAAATCGATGATCAACGGGAGGGCCTTTACTTTTACTTTATGAAAATGTCATGTATTTAAAAGTATAAAAATTATAAAACAATAACTCTCATTAATATAGTTACAGATTCTTTTTGAGAGGTGGGTATGGGACAAACCAGCAATACCCAGGAATTACTTCTGGCTCTGCACTCAGAAATTATTCCTGTTAGTGCTAGAGAGATCATGTAAGAGCCTAGAGATTGAATCTGGGTTGGTCATAGGCAAGACAAACGACCTTCCCACTTGGCTATTCTTCCGGCCGCTAGACACAGATTCTCCATTCTTAAGCATCTCTTCATGGATGACCATTTCTGTATTCAACTACAATTGTTCACCATGCATTATACTTTATGTTCTTTCAGAAAACTCCAATGCTTAAGCAAATTGGGGAGAACTTGAAAACAAGAAATTTCTAAAACCTCATCTATTTTTCCCTAGTGCTTTATTTATTACACAGGAATATGCTCCTCCTCTGTTGCCCACACATTCTGCTACAGTTACTTAATTCCGTAATTTATTCTTTATTTGAGAAGAAGGGTCACACACGTTAGTGCTAAGAGTTTACTCCTAGGCCTATGCTCAGAGTTCACTCCTGGTGGTGCTCTGGGAACCAATGTGGTGACAGGCATAGAACATATGATAGCTGCATGCAAGGCAAGTGCCCTACCCACTCTCTGTTCCCATATTCTGTTATATTTCATGGATCACATTTCAGTACATAAATCTTCTCAAATTTACTGTGCTCTCTTTTGTCAAACTATTTTCCAAATAAAAAGACAACTCGTGTTTGTAATTTTCCTGGTAGGAAATAAATATTATTAGATATCTTCACACTATGCATCAGATAAAGGACTAATATTGAAGACATATAAAGCACACACAAATTTCAACCAAAAAATTAACAACACTTGGAACCAGAGCCATAGTATAGTGGGTAGGGCATTTACCTAGCACAAGATGGACCCAGGTTTGATTCCCAGTATCCTAAATGGCCCTTTGAACACAGTCAGGAGTGAGTGCAGAAACCCCTGAATATCCCTTGGGTGTACCCCAAAATCAAAAATTAAAGGAAAAATCTACAACACTAACAAAAAATAAGAAGAGGAGAGGAACCTCCTCCAAGAAAACAAATGAATGATCAGTAGACATATAAAAAATTGTTCATGTTACTTATTACCAGTGAAATAGAAATCAAATCACAATAATGAGATATAATTTCATAAATTTTTGGCATCAACCGACCTAACACAGAAACATTCATTAAAAAAGATAGATGCGTACTATGTTTATTGAAGCATTTGGTAAAATATCCATATAGAAACAACCCAAACGTTTAACAGTATATGATGGATAAAGAAGCTGTGGCATAGATACACAATGGAATACTACACAGCTGAAAGAAACAAATGAAATCATGTGGTTTGCTGCAACCTGGATGGAACTGCAGGGTATGGGGTTAAGCACAATGAAGTTGGAGGAAGAACAAATGCACAATGATCTCAGCTGTGGTATTGAGATAAAACAAGGAACAGACAGTATCAAACAACGCCAATCATTTCATTTTTGATTATAAAACTCATATTTTCAAATAGCAGTGGGAGCAATAAAGAAGAACAAAAATATGGACTAAAAGGAACTTAAGGTATTTTAGGGGAGGGTAAGGAACACTTTGTTGATTGACTGTAGTAATTTTGTATTTCAATACTGTAAATGCTAATGCTGTTGTAATCATGTTATCTGTCAACACTGTCAAACACTGTCCTCCTGTTGTTCATCGATTTGCTCGAGTGGGCCCAGTAATGTTTCTATTTTGAGACCTGTTGTTACTGTGTTTGGCATATTGAATACATCATGGGTAGCTTACCAGGCTTTGCCATGGGGGCGAGATACTCTCGGTAGCTTGCCGGGCTCTCTGAGAGGGGTCGAGGAATCCAACCTGGTTAGGCTGGGCTGGCTGCGCACAAGGCAAACACCCTACCGCTGTGCTATAATCATGTCATCTAAATTATAATAGAAGTCAAAAATAAATCTAAAGGAGTCAGAGTGATAGGACGGCAGTTATAGTGTTTGTCTTACAATCGGTTCCTGGGACCCGCTATGGCCTCATAGCCCAGAAGGGTGTGATCTCCCATATTGGTGATGGGGTTGAAGTCAGGAAAACTGTACACATGGAGTTTGATGATTGCTGTTTGTAAAGTTTGGTACTATAAATAACTTTGTAACTTACAGTATCTTAATAAAATGTATTGCAAAATTAAAAAAAAATGTATGTTAGAGGGGTCAGAGAGACAGCTTAACATAGGAGGCCTGGATTTTATTTCTGCCATCACAAAATATGGACTAAAAGGAACTTAAGGTTATTAAGTTAAGGAGCAAGCCCAGTCACAGAGTCAGTATAGCCTCCAAACCCCATTGGGTGGCCCCAAACTTCTCCCCAAAATAAATCAAAGATATTAGACTTTTCTTCATATTTTAAGGTAGAGATAAGTCTGTCGATATTCAGGCTGCAATTGGGGGCCAACTTTGAACTTTTACTACTGATTTTGTTTTGACTATATCTGTAGTCAAACTATTGAACCTATAGAAGTCTATTAGGGTCAAGGTAAAATGTCCCATTTTCATAAATGAGAAATGGTGTGAGTTAAAGTTCTGAAGCACAGATATCATATGCAAAACACACAATCACATGTCTTATTTCAAATAGAATAAAATGTAGAGGTATTAAAATATTTGATGTGAATCATCCTTTGATATTTTATCAAAATATCTTTCATGTAATATGTGTTAGATATCTTCAAAGGTTTAAATTAATAAACTGTCCTTAAATATTTTCCAAGGCTTGAAAATAATGAAAAAGTTATGAAAATGTTTAAAATTCAATTCTTAGATAAAAGAAAATAAATGTAGAAGACCCATAACTATTTTATCTGTGGCATAAATAATTGTTTTTAATTATAAAATAAAATGATGCATTTTATAGTTTAACAAAAAAAAATTCTGACCTAGGGGCTAGAGTACTTGACTGGTATATACAAAAATGTTTGATCTCCCATAATCCTGAACAACACCCAGAATCAGATATAGCCCTGATGGCTGTGAGCACTAATAGTAGTTGCCCTACTTTCTAGAAAAGTTCTGACCTGATACTCCACTAGTTACAAGTTGTTTTACTAGTCACACTATTTTAACTTCCTGTGCTTCAATCACTCATAGATAAAATAAATTTAACATTGCTTACTCCTGTTTATAATAAAGATTAAATATACTAGACCATATAGTACATGCTTAATAAATATTAGCTATTGTTATAATTAAAGGGAAACTAAAAACAAAGGGAGGAATATGA